ATCCTAATATACTAGGACTTTAGTACATTTATATAATTCATGAATAAATCTACATATATCGGAGATACGTGCTCAGAAAGTATTTATGATAGTACTGTTTGATCAATCCATGTGATGATGACAATTTAGGGAGAGTGACCCTGGAAGGAGCAGAGGAAATGCCAGGCTGGTTTAGAGCACACTCCATTTCAGATCCATTTTGTAGGAGCATGTGAATTCTTGCCATAATTCAACCTTGCTAAATGTCAGTTGTGTTTCTCAGGCACCCTTACCTCTCCCTAAGAGCCCTCATCTGGCTGTAAATCACCTCTGAGTTGGCATGTACTCCTCAGGGAAACAAGTTTCCTGAGGTGATTGCCGGAGAGGCAAAGTGGGTCTCAATTTTCACCCTCAAATTGGAGGGGGGTGTTTCTAAAGACTGTTCTCCTTCCTACACCAGGAACTGGGTGCGTAGCTGGGTGTGCAGGCTTGTCTTCCTGTGTGTGATGTGTAGGCTTCCATTCATTCTGTGATCCCTTTGGGACTCCAGTTATAATGCTTTATATCTGTATTCTCTGCCTACCTCTCCTGGACATTTTTGCTCACTCTTGAGGTGCAGCAGGCTGAATGGTATTGCCATTCTTGGTAACACACAGCACCGATGGTGTGCTTCCAATTTTATACCCAGGAGGATTATCTGGGGAGGGAGAAGGAGGGAAGGAAGGGTGAAGAAGAAGATTAAAGTCCAGGAAGAACAGTTTGCAGTAAACTTACTCCAGTTACAACTGAACTGCCACCCCCTCTTCCCTCCTCTTTCTCTTCCTTCTCCTGCTTCCCTCTCTTTCCTCCTCCTCCTTCCTCTTCCCTTATCTCTCCTCTTGCCTTCTTCTTCCCCTCCCCTTTTCTCCTTCCTGTTCCTTTTCTCCTTTCTCCTTCCTCTTCCTTTTCCTTCTCTTTCTCCTCTCTTCCTTCCTTCCTCTTTCCTCTCATCTTCCCTCATACCCCCTTCCTGTCCCATCTTTTTTCTCCCCTTCTCTCTCTTTTTCTCTCTCAACGACAACAACAAAAAACCCCTCTCTTTTATAAAGAAATTCCTTTATAAAGAAAGAAAGCTAAGCCTTTTGTGATGTGGGGAAAATGTCCTTTGGGTAGACTAATTAGGATGAAAACTAATTAATGCCTTGTAGGTAGAGGTGGGTCCACCCCTCAGATCAAGCAGGGTATTGGGGTCTAGGGAGAAGCCATCTTGGCCATGCTGAAAATGGTGACATGAATTTCACAGACGTGCCTCACTAGTAGAGACTGGCACTTGGAAGGTGTGGTAGCCTAAAGCCCTGCTCCTTCCTAAATGGCAAGGTGAGTTCCCAACTCCCTGTGTCTTTCCTACTTCTGATCACTGACCCCTACCTGGTGCTGGTACTGCTCCTTAATTTGTCTGAGTTATTTTTCAGTTATACATTTCTCATTATGGGATACTTGCAAAAATGGTATCTTGAAGGTAAACTGTTTAGACATGGGGAAAAAACAAACAAACAGCCTAATGAGTTCCTGCAATGTATTTTGGCTAAGATATTAGAGCACAAAGGGGCCTGTGCTCTGTGCTGTTCTGAATAGCACTTGACCCAGTAGAATACTGTGCTGGGAGAAAAGACCCTAGCCACGTCAAGCCCCCTGCAACCTCACTGTACCCTCTAGCAAAAGAGTCATAGACATCAGGCCTCCGAACTCACTTCCACATAGCATAGGTAATGTGTGCTGGGAATGAACTAAGCATCTGTAGTGTCTTCGGGAAAATAAAGTACCTCAATGTTGTATGTCAAAACCAGTTACAATAATTTGACAAAAGAAAAGCAAATACCTTGAAATGAGGAAAACAAAGGCCTAGAGGCGCCCACTTCAGCCTCCTTTCTTGTCTCTGCTCTTCCTGAGCTCTTCGTGGTACAGTTGCCTGTGCTGGAACCATCAGCTCCAGTGTGAAGCTGATTTGGGGGAATGGATGTTGGCTTGTTGCTGTAGGGTTTCATGGGGTTTCCTAGGCTCCTTATTGCATTTTGGCTGCATTTGATCCCCAGGATGCTAGGGAACTCCAGTTTTTCTTACATTTGAAGGTCTTTGGGAATTGAAGGCATTTTGAATTTCTGAACACTTATGTGCCTCTTTATTTATTTATTTTAGTACCAGATCTCCATATGATAAAAGAACCTTGTAGGTGATCCGTGGTATTAAGTAAATGATGCCCACTAATCTCTCAGAGAGGTCACTAGAACCTTCTGTTTCTCTTTCAGTAGCCCTCTTATTCAGAACATATCTGAACAGCATTCAAGGTCATTCCCCATCCACAAACAGAAGATATTTAAAACTTAAAACAACTCCCTGTTTCTCAATATTTAAGCTGACCATGTGACTCTAGCCCTGGTTGCCTGGGGCCATGTGCCCTGGATGTTTTTTAGCAATATCTGGTTAGGCCTTTCTCCCTAGCAGCTTTTACAAACACAGGGATTGGGGAAGGAATTGAGGTACATTGACCAGCCACTAAATGCCTGGCCCAAGAAACCTGTCTTATGCCCTACAGCTTATTTTTTCAAAATTATAGGTTTACTAATAAGTCCACTCCCATTTAACAGATAAAGACATGGAGGTCTGGGATCTGTAATGAATTCAGCAAGGTCACTTCACATGTGTGCTGACTCTCAAGTTTAGGGGCACCTCTACTCTTCAGCACCCTGCAGCAAATACATCCTTTTCTAAAAAAAAAATTTCTCGTTTATTATTTTTACATGTATGAGTGTATTGGCTGCACGTATGGGAGTGTACCCATGTTGTGCAATGCCCGTAGAGGTCAGAAGAGTGTGTCAGATCCCCTGGAACTGGAGTTACAGATAGTTTTTAGCTGCTATGTGGGTGCTGGGAATTGAACCCTGGTCCTCTGCAAGAGCAGCCGGTGCTCTTAACCACTGACCCAACTCTCCAGCCCTCTTTTAAGAGCCAAAGGTGAGCTTAATACTGATCAGTGTTTCATTCTCCTACCTCTGGTTTCAGAAAATGAATGGCTTTCCTCCTGGGCTTCTTCATGTGCTCTGGGTTTTCTTTAAAAGAAATGCCTGCATGTCTCATCCCTCTGTGGTTCTTGCAGAGCAGTGGCTCACTAGGGCACCAATTTAATGAATAAAAATATCAAGCAAGTTTGGTTTGATTCCAGGTGATACAAATAGAGAATTGTGAATGCTTTGTGTCAAGTTTAAAGGGAAGAGAAAGGTGGGAAGAAAAAGTAGGTCAAGTGCAGTAACTGGGTAATATCTTAAGGGCTGTGTAGTGAAGATCTAGCTGTTGAAAATGGTTTTAAAAAACAAAACAGGCACATTCATAGTACTTTAGCAATTCTCTATCTTGAAATTATGAGTTATGTACTTTATTACTTACTGTGCATGTGCGTGTGTGTGCATGTGTATGGGGAGGCAGGAGGTTGACATTGGCTTTGTCCTCTCTTTACGTTTTTTGAAACAGGGTCTTTCACTGAACCTGGAGCTCACCTATTTGTCTAGGGCTGGCTGGCTGACCAGGGAGCTCCAGGGATCTGCCTGTCTCCAGTTCTCCAATGCTGAGACTACAGGTGTGGACAGCCACACACAGCTTTTCACAGAGAAAATATATAGCTGAGGATGAAACTCAGGTCCTCATGTGTATGTATCAAGCAAGCACTTTATTCACAAAGACATCTCCTCTGTCCTCGAGTTATACACTTTATAATATTTACCCATGAAATATGAATCTCCACTGTGCCAGCTACTGTTCTAATTAATATGTAATTTGTACCCATATTGAGTTATTCTTTTCAAACATTTTAAGGTGTATATAATTAGTATTTGTAAGAAAATAGGGACACAGAGAGAGCTTTGTTAACTTGCCCAAGGTTAGATAGTTGTCCAAGGTTACCCAGCCTTGCCCAAGGCCAGACATAGGGGCTCAGGTAGACGCTAAGCCCAGGAAGGTTAGCTTTGGACCCTGAACCATTGTGCTTACCTGCCTTTCAATGGCAAGGGCTCTGTTTCATTATTCCATCAGCCTTTAAACATTATTTTTCCATTTAATTAAGACTGGGCCACTATATAGTTGGAAGGGTAAATATTTGTCCTGTTTGGTGACAGATGTGATGGCTTTAAAAAAAAAAAAAACAAAAACGGGTCCAAGGCAAAGTCATGTACTTTCTCTTCCACATTCCTCCATCTGTATTTATTCTGTGAAAAGGTCACTTGAGCACAAGTGCTTGAATTTCATGCTTCTAAGCAGTGTCCCTGTGGCTAAAACTTCCTCTACAAATTGACTTCTAAAATATTTTGTAATAATGTATATTGCTGTCCAGTACGAACACTCTAGAAAAGCCACTGAGTCACAGGCCTCCTCTCTAGCACTTCTAGGTTTCTTCATGAATAACAGGAATCAGCAAGTCATTTTAACCTCTTTCTCAATTGATACCTCTTGTCTGTCCATCTACTTAACATTTACTGGAAGGAACCCTGGCTCTGGGAGGCTGAGCTGTTTGTCTTGTCACTTAGCTACCTGGCTATGGCTTGTGGTAGAAGGGAAGGGGAGAGAAGGGACTAAAAAGACTGAAATGGTAAATTACTGTAGGCTCTTGAGAAAAATAGAATTAGAAGCATTTGTGGTTTGGACGAAAATAGCACATTTCCTTTGTGCTTGGACTGTGGGGGTCAGAGTGCTCTGGGGGATAGAAAATAAATAAAAATTGATCCCTCACCAGTTGAAGGAAATGCTCTGACTCTGGGAACTGAAATGATAGCCCCAAATTCAAGGATCTTGTGAAGCCATGTTTGAAGGTTAATAAAGGAAAGAAAAAAGAAAGCACACAGGAGGCTTTTTCAAAAGTGATATTCTGTGTTAGGAGATCTGTCCTGCCTAGAATTATCTGAGTAGAGCTTTTCCAAGACTAACTGCCAGGCAGCAGAACCTGAGCTAGTATAAGATTCTTCATTGCTGACCATGGTCCTTCATGTCTTCTGCAGGTGAGAAGCCTTACAAGTGCTCATGGGAAGGATGCGAGTGGCGTTTTGCACGGAGCGATGAGCTCACAAGGCACTACAGGAAACACACAGGTGCAAAGCCCTTTAAATGCAACCACTGCGACAGGTAAGGGGACTTAGAAACTACTGGATTAGGGAGGGAGATAGCGCAGTAGGTTGGAGGGTGGTATACATGCATGATCTTGGATTTGTCACAAGTCTCTCACACACGCTCCTGGAAATACTTTTACTTCTTTACTGAGTATAAACCAATGAGAGGTGCATCCTCTTACGTGGTGTAAATTCATGGTTCAGTCACGCAGACATTTACTGAACAGCAGCTTTGGCTTAGTGCTGGCGACTGGTTATTAGGATGTAGTTCCTACCCTCAGGGAGGTGGTGAGGCAGAGAATTATAGTATACTAGAAAAAATAATAAAGTAGTGAGTGCTCACCTGTAGCTGCTTCTTCTGACCTTTTTATTATCATCAGTACCACTTTTACTTATCCTTTATAATATTAAAAAATGGAAAGTTTGCTTAATTGGAGAAAGATTATAAGGATTTTCTCTGAAGCATTATTGGAAATGAACTTAATAAAGGAAGTTCCTGCTCTTTGGTGGTCTGGACTATTCCTTCCTCCATAAAGACAGGCTCCAAGGGTCCAAAAGATGGCAACACTTTGAGAACTCACCCTGTAATTTAATTTCAAACCTTCAGCATTTGATAGTGGAAGCGTAGCAACAGATACCACCCAAGTAATAGTATCTGACAGCCCTGGCATTATCAGCCAATAAATCCCAAAATGGAGACTCTGCAGGCCAAGGTGAAGGCAGGATTAGGTTTAGACATAATCAAATAACGGGCTTGCATCTGAGCGTGTTATCCTTCTAATCCTATTTCTGTGTTTAAAAGGAAGCTTAAGAAAATTAACCATCTTTTTAATGCAATACTAAAGGTCTTGGTTATGATGAGAAAAATGCTTCTAATACAATAAAAGCCCCTGAAAGCCTCAGGGTTCCCCAGCTTGGGCAGCAGCTCTCAGGATGGCAGGAGGGGTGAGCAGAATGTCCACAGAGGCCTGGTGTCCTTCAGAGGAAATGAAATCTCTCACATCCTGCCTCTCCCAGTCCCTGTGCTCCACACCTGCACCTCCCACTGGCTAGTCCTTCCTCTGGAGTGTTTGCTTACTTAAAGAGTAGGGCAGTGATGTCCAAATCTAATGCCTGGCCAAGTTGGCCTAGTACTTCAGAATGCTTATAAAGGACAATTCTGTCTTTCCTCCTTCTTTTCCCCCTCCTCCCCCTTCTTCCTGAAGAGGCTATTTTCCTCTTATCTTCATCCTCTAGGAACTAAATAAGAACCCCATGCCTCCTGGAACACAGAGATAACCCTCACCCCAGGGCTGAGGAAGTATGCCTCTAGCAGCCATGGTCTCCCACTAACTTGGGAGCTCTGTGTTCTACCCAGGAGCACAGCCATTGTTTCATTTCCATCTTATTCCCTAGCAGGCCTTCTGAGTGCACAGGAAGCAGCAGCTGTTCTGCAGTGTGTCCCGATCAAGTGTCTCTGTGTTTGACATCCTCCTTGAACCTCCATCCCAGGTGTTCCTGGTTCAGTCCTCTCCAGCCCTGGCTAATAAAGAAACCTGCAGGTGTTGACTCTGCCACAGCCCTGTGAGGAGAGCCTTCCATTGTAAGGCCCAGGGTCAATGAGTTCTTTGTGAGCTGTCATGGATGATGGCAGTAGGTACACAAGTCACACATCCCCACATCCCTGAAGGATGTTGAAGCTGTAACTTGGAGATTGTGGCATTATGGATTGTCCTTGGAAGTGGACAACAGACCCTTAATGAGGAATTTTCCAGTTAATTTTCCTTTCTTCAAATTAACCAACTGAGGAATTTGTAACTTCCCAGCAACCAAATATATTAGCACTCAGTTGTCCACTTATGTGGTTTATGTAGTATCCAAACCTATTGGATACTATCAGTGATGGGTGATTTGGTTAATCTTTCACATTACTTTCTTCATCAAAGTACACTACAGTTTCTGGAGTTAGAATTTGCTGTAGAGATAGTACAAATTCTGTGGTCTGATATTTGTTGGGGAGATTGGAAGTACACCAGAGTCCTGTTCCCTAAGTCAGCAGTGTCTTTTCAATGTCAGAAACAAGGACTGGAGCTCACTAGTGTCGTGATAGGTAGTACGTCTCATTTCAGTTATAGCTAGAATGCTAAGAATAGACAGGTCTGGGAGCTGTCTTGAGGGACTGGAATGGCCCCAAAGCAGGTGAAAGGAAAGCCTCAGGTGACTAGGAACCTGGCATTCCTTAGAAGACTTTGACCTTTGGAAACAGAGGGCATCTTGAGCCAGTAGCAGGCGCCCACACCCTGTTGGCTTCATAGTGTGTGAGTATAACTGCTGCTGCAGTGCCTCTTGGATTCTGAGCAGTCCGCCTGTCTTATGTAGAAATGAAGCGAGGTTTGATCGTCCCATCCTTAAACAGATTCCATGTATAACTTAGATATTTTTTGTCCCCTGGGAAATTTAAAAAAAAATACATGAGATATTTATATTTATTTTCTTTGCCAGTGCTTAAGACTGTTAAATGTCACATATAAAACAAGTGTGTATTTCTGGCTTTATCTAGAACAATCATATCTGGCCACTGTAGGTTCATACTCCCACTTGCCTGTCATGGACTGGAGCTGACTAGCTCCAGTTACCTGTTGTGATGATTTTTTTTTAACTCTCTCTACTGCTCCCTGTTGTCTCCCCAACATGAAAGCATGAATTTATTTCTAAGAATCCTACTTGCTCTGTTGCCTCCTCTTAGAAAAAAAGAATATTTTTTTATACACATGCCTTATCAGAAGTGGAGAGAGAGCATCTGTGACTGCAGTGTGTTTGTTAGAGTTGGCTCATTCCACTTACATACTTCACCTGCAGGGCCCCTGAAGACCCAGAATTTTGTGAACTTCAGGGTTGGGATTGCAGGAGAAACCAGTAAGGTAGCTATGCTAGATCCTCACCCTCAGAACCATGTGGTCCACCAAGTGACCCAGTGCTAGAGGGATGAGTCCTTTCACAGCCCAGAGAACACAAGGGTGCTGCTGCTGGTGGTAAATAGAGCTCCACATCTGATACAGACAGCAGGCAGAACACCTTTCTTCCAACTTAGCTCAGTTGTAATCCAGCTGTTACTAAGGTGGTCCATAAAAGATCCTAGATAGTTGAGGCTGAGGATTTTGATCTTTATGGCAGTAAGTACACCTATAGGTGATAAGAAGTATCAGCCAGTGTCTCAGCCTCTGGTCTCCTAGAGAATTATTGTTGTCTTAATACCCATTTAAGTTCAGGGTATCTTTATCATAGGCAAGAGAAATAACTGTGGGCTTTGGCTAGTCCTCTAAATTTCAGTCATTAAAGACCTCCTTACGTAAGGCTATCAGGCTGTTGTGTAGTTAGGAATACCCCCTGGGGTATAATACCCTTAAATTATTTGATTCTGTACTTCCAGATGCTGAGTTTATCTATTACCTATTACTATTGATATACAGAGCTCAGTAAGTGTAAATGAATGAATATGAATTAATTATGACTAAGTATCTAGCAGGCATATTGAATTTAAAGAGAAACCTTTCTGGTGAATATGTTTCCTGGAATTTGAACAAATAAGGATGCTCATTTGGATCGGTTGGGATGTATTTGCATTTCATATAATGTTAAAGATTTGGGTTTTTTTTCCCCTGAAAATGATTGAAGGATAAAGGCAGATAGATGAACATACATTGCTAGATATCCCACAATGGCAGAAGCAGAGATAAAGCTGAACAAGTACATGACTGAATGAATAAAGTTCTGCATCAAGGACACGTTTCCCTGAAAGTTCCCAGGACATACAAAGGAAAGCAAAAGCATCTGACCCACTTCCAGGGCCTTTCTTCTTCTCACCAATTCAGATCCCCCCATTCTCTTGGGACGGACAGGAGTCTCAGTGCCTGCTCTGTTGCTTTCTCTCAGTCCTAACTCCGCCCTAACTGCCGATCCTCTGGGTTGATGGTCTGGTTTCTGCTGCAACCAGTGACCACAAATGTAGCTTTGTGTTTATTTGCTTTACAAATTTATTCTCTTGCCACTTTGTAGGTTTTAAATTCAACATAAGTCTCTGGCTGGTCTACCATGAAGGTGTTGGCAGCCTGCATTCTTTCTTAGGGGTTCTAGGGAGGAGATTATTTCTGGCCTTTTCCAGCTTCTGGAAGCCTCCTCTAGTAGCCATTGCTGGAGACCTCATTCCACCATCGTCAGGCTGCTCCAATCTTCCCATGCTGTGTCTCCTTGATTCACTTTTGTCCTGTCTTCCTTTTTTAAGGGCCCAACAAATGATACCAGGCCCACCTGGATAATCTAGGATAATATCCTTACCTTATGTCCCTCCAGCTGATTAGTAAATTAAGTCCATGCTCAACTCGACCCCTTGCTGTGTAACTAAGCACAGTCATCAGTTCTGAGACTGAAGTGTAGACCTTTTTAAAGGGAAGGACAATGTTCTTCTTGCCACAGACTCCTTAAACTGGTAGCTCAGCTCTCATTTTGTCTAAGCCTGAAAAGCAGATGTGGCTAATGGTGTGGGCTCTGGAGTCAGACTAGCTGGGTTCATATCCTGGCCTGGCCATTTTCTGATGAATATCTTGTCTAGTATTTGTCTAGTTTCTTCATTTAGAGTCCTTATGAACATGTTATCTTTCATAACAAAATAGCTACAGAGAACTTCCTAGCTTGAATATTCTCTCCCTAGTTTTTCATATACAGGAAGGTGGGAGAACAGAAAGAAAGTGGGGCCAAGAAAGTGAACAGGCAGTGGGCCCCGTGACAGGACAGAACCGTGCAAGTTAAAAACGCGATTCCCTAGAGACTCTATAGTTATATCCCTATTATGGTAAATTAAAACTCCTTCGGGGTTATCTCTAAGGGTTGACTCAAATATCTTGTTCGTTCCAAATCAGGGCCTAAAATAAGCAGGTGGGACTGGTATTATTGTCAGTGCAGTGTGTCTTTGGATTAGACTGTTTCCTGCTGTAGTTTCCCCATTCCACGAGTTTTTCATCTTCCCCTTGTCTTATTTCTCTTCCTTTCAAGGGGATCTGTCCTGCACGTGCACCCAATTTAAAGAATGAGAACAAACAGAGGGTGTGGAGAGTATTGGGGTCAGGGGACAGGGTGGATTTGTAGTTTGTTTGAAGAATGAGCAAACATGGGGAAGTCCTGCTCTGAACAGGAAACCCTGCTAGCCTGAACAGGGTGGCTTGCTAATGTCCTAGCAAGACTTTTGAGTGGTGGCGGTGGCTTGGACTTCACAGAGGCCTGAGACTGTTTTCATAGGTTAGGAAAGGGCTGGCTTCAAGAGAGGGGGCCAGAGGGAGAACACACAGCCAGAGCCACAAGCATGGCTGCTGTCTTACATGCTCACATAACTGGTACTCCAGACCAGAACCTTAGACTGTACATTGTTGGGACATGGAAATGCCCACATTATGAGTTGTAAAATACAGAAACCTGCCTCATACTGGTGTTAGTTTGAAAGGCTATTAACTCAGTTAACTATCAAGAACAGAATTCAGTTTGTCTTTAGAGTTGTTGGATCCAGGTTCTCAGCTATCATCCAGCCTTTTTCTCTTTCCATCCTCTGCATCGCCTTTTTCTCTGCTGACTTCCTTCTCCAGCAGGCTTTCCCACAGTGGCAATATGGGCACTAGCAGCTCCAAGCTCTTCTTATAGCAATTTAGCAGTCCCAGTGGAAAGAGAGCTTCTCTATTCCAATAATTTCAGCAGCTGTTGGATGCCTTTCTTTGGCCTCTGTGAGTCATGTGAAGTATGGCCGCAGCCATACTTCAGCCTTAGAAGGAAGGTCAACCCCATACTACTGAGAACATAGAAGGGTTACTACCCAAGAGACTATCAAGTGTCCACTATCAAAGGAAAGTGGAGGGGAAATGGCCACTGCATCTGCTGAGGAAGGCGCTCACTTAATGAAACTTAGGCGCCAAGTGTTAGTCCAAAAGAATGGGCTCCTCAGAGATCTGCCTGGGTTCCAATCTCAGTTCCACTACTCCCTGTTGATATGACCTCAGCTCAGTGCCTTAGCATACACATACAGGGGGTGGGGAGGGAGGGAGAAGATGTTACTAGGGTGATAATGGGGATGCCCCGGCACAAAGCCTGAATATTATAACATAATATATGAACACACTCATCCATTCTTTTCCTTGACTTGAATACATCATGCCTGTGTTGGCTTGTGGGAGTCACAGGCAGTATTCCTGAACTTTCATCATAAAGCTTGAGACTAAAATCTGGATGCTGAGGCATCAGTATTCTACTATCTGATGACACAGGCTAATTATTCTTTATTGTATACAGTATACAAGCACGACATGTGTTTTGAAAGCACTTTTGCATTTGTTTCTTCTTTAATAATTACAGTTATAATCATAAGAGTTAACATGCATTGACATCTTACTATGTGTGATGCAATATTCTAATATTCATCTTGTTTAATCCTTACAACTAACCTATGAGTACAAGGTTGTGATTATCCCTATTTGACTGATGAGCAATTAAGGCATAGAGAGGTTAATGAGCTCAGTGACATAGCTCCTGGAAGCACTGAGATTTGAACCAAAGCAGTTTAACCCCTGAGCTGACTTCCCCTGCCCGGCACACTTCCTTATCTCCCCATTCACCAGCATTCTGTCTTTAAGGTTGGTCATTCCCTAAGGTTATAGAAGTAGCATTTTTCCTTTGGCCCTCTCTGATATCCTCATTGTTGTTTGTATGTTCTAGGTGTTTCTCCAGGTCTGACCATCTTGCCCTCCATATGAAGAGACATATCTAAAAAAAAAACCTAAAGGCCAGAGTTGGCCGTGGCATCGGCCATTGTCCGAAGGAAATGCCGTAAGGCAGAGGGCTGGACTTCAGACGAGGAACACTGCCTCGCAGAAGAAAGTTCTCGCTTACAAACCTCTGTGTACACACATGTACACTCACACGTACACACACCCTCTCACACACAGACCCACACACATACCCACTGTCATGCACTCAACTATATTTAAAATATATACATCTATTCCTTATGCCTTCCCTAGCCAGATGGTAGAAGAAGACAAAGAAGAAGGAAGCCAGGTGAACTCAGCAAGGCACGCTGGCTGCTGACTTCAGTCCTATTGGAATTACTTCCTGCTGTTGCCAATGGAAATCCAAGCAAATGGATGTGATGTCTCCACAGTGGACGGCAGTACGAGGGGCTCACCTAACTTGCTTCTCAGTGCAACTTGATAGGATAATACAACATCTTACAGTTGCATATGCGTAGCACTAATGTTTCTTTCTAAATGGTTGGGGGAAAACAACCTAGAAAACCAAATTGCAGTTTGGTAGCCAAAATTAACTCCTGGTTTATTTGTCCTTTGTGTGTGAAAAGTCCTACTATTCCCGTGCGTCAGACTTCCTCACAGAACTGTCGGTTGGTTTTGGTTCTTTCTAGTACCATTGAGATCTTTCGAGTTGATAAACGGCCTTAGTGGCGGCAGACTCTGGATTCACACCTTACACCTTTCTGGCCTGCGTCTCTCTAGACTTCACCCTCAAGGGAGGAGTTTTCTTTTCTTACTTTTTTGACTCTCGCACATCATATGCACTAGGGATTCTGGAAACTTCTAGCATGACTGCAAAGTGGCCAAGAGAATAAAGTCCTTGATGATAAATCACAGTATATCCCTTGAGCCTCACCTTATTGCCAGTGCTAGATTTTTTCTTTTTAAAATCTCTCTGTTTTTTGCTAATGAAAACTTGAAAAAGCTTATTTGGAAGCTTAAATGTTTTATCTTTTCTCCATGGACTAAACCTCTCCAGGACTCTCTCGGCACCTGGATGTCCAGCTCTCGAACCAGCCAATCAGACGGGACATCACAGTTCTCTCATCCTCCCTGAGGCATGATGACCTCAGCTCGTAGTGAGCAGCCACTGTCATTGCTACCCTATAACCAGTTACAGCGTAGATGTTGCTAGTCTCAAAGGGCAGCTGCGTATTTAATCTAACTCTGGGTTATGACCTGACAAAAAGCCAAAAATATCACTCTTTCCAGGAGTGGGGAAATCTGAGGATGCCTCCCAAGTCTAGAGGCTTCACAAAACATCACCCTGCCCTTCCCTCTCATACCCACTGAACTCATGTTACCCACTTGTTAAAATACACAGTTCAGAGCACCACAGTGGGAATGACCATTAAGGAAGGGGTGACGGTATCTCTCTTGTGATGTGTCTAGGGTTATTTTTTATTTGATTTTTTTTTTTTTGGCTAGGCCCACCATGACTCGTGACCTAGAGCACCCAGGATCAGCAGAGGTCTCACGTTTACTCTGCAAGTTGACTCCAAGGGGGTTACATTGCTCACTTGTCATCCCACACACACGTCCAATGTTGGTCTTTATCTTCCCACATTCTTAGCTAGCTGGCACTGGCCTCAACTCCAAAGACTGCCTTTAGGACCATTAAATGGCCTATGCAAGCAAGCGGGGTGGTTATTAAGACAGATTGTATATTTTGTATATTCTGGGACCATCCCTTCAAGACACACGTCTAACAAACAAAAATGGCATTTGGTCCACACATGGTTGCTGCTCCTTCATTCCAGCTGGCTCCCTCCTGCCCTCCTTTGACTGTTTGACTCACTGACTGTTAAAATGCCACCCCAGACATATTTGGGATGCAAAACTGAAGTCTTTTCAAGGAAATAATAATGTAAGCAACACAAACACATATACGACAGCAATCTTCGAGATCCTTGGTACTTGGGTTCTCAGCTTTCTGCAACTTTTGTTTTCACTGAAATGTTGAAACTACTCGTCTGAGGGTAAAGGTACCTGTGTCACAAATGCTGTAGCTGCCAGTGGACACTTGAGGTGTTTCGAGGTCTGGCCCTTCTTTTTTCTTTCACAATTTTTCAATTTAGACCAAAAAATAAATAATAAAAAACAAAGCAAAAAAATAACAAAAATGAAAAAAAAAAGAAAAAAACACCACCCTGAACACACACACACACACACACACACACACACACACACACACACTCTGTCGATCTTTCAGGGAGGGAAGTCTTATTATTACCGAGCCTTCTTTTTATAGCATCTAGCCTTGTCTTAACAAAACATCACATCAATACATTCGAAACACTACAGACACCTTTTGTTATAAAATAATTGAAGCCAGGTATAGTGGCATACACCTGTAATCCCAGCACTCAGGAAGATTGAGAATTCAAGGCTAGCCAGGCCTACATAGCAAGACCCTCTCTAAATAAATAATTGAACCCCTCAAGAACTACCTCCTGCCAATGATAGATACACACACACACACACACACACACACACACACACACACACAATCTGTCCATTTGCCAGAGGCAATTATATGTATGTTAGTTGGAGGGTATTAAAGGAAAAAGAAATCAGTTTTATTCCAAAGATTTCAAAGTAGACATGACTTAGAAACAACTTCTAGAGCACTGCTCGCTGACAATCTCATTCTCTACTACTATTGAGTGCATTTTGCAGCCAGTCCATCAGGGCATACCATGGGATTATATTTGAATGTGTGGTACATCCTTTTTGGGTGAAGGATGTGTGAGGGACATTGAACCTCAGCTGTATTAAACTGTAGCGCCTCCAGTCAGTGCACTAGATGAAACTTTAGACTCCCTAAATTGTGTTGGGTTGTTTCTTTTCCCTTCTGCAGCAGACTCCGGCGCAAATGCACGCACATGCCAGGGATGGCATTAAGCCATGGCCGCCACCATTTACAAACGTTCTCCCCCAGGCTGGAGCTGCTCTTGCCTCTCAAAATACTATTACTAAGGGTTTATAATAATTTAATTTTTTAACTGACCAATGTAAGGCTCTATTAAAAAAAAAAAAAAGGAAAAAAAAAATGCAAAAGAATAATCATTGCTGTTTGTTCCCTTGTCATCTCTGGTCTCATTTGAATGTGGCAGAACAAAGGCCCTTTGGTCCTCCTTGGTGTCTGAAATGTTTGGTAATTCCTCTCTCTTTTGTATCAGTGAGGTCCTTTGTAATCTGCTCCTGACCTTTCTCAGAGCAGGATGCACTGAGATGCCATGATGGTGCTTGCTTGCTTTGGGGTCATTGTTGACTGTGGGAATTGGCCTGAGAATCTGGTGGGTGCTACGTGTATGGCTTTGAAACTGTTCTTCTCTAGCCCAGATTGACATCTGTGAAGGATAACCAGTCCTGACTGGGGAGTGGGTAGCCCTGATCATTTTGGAAATGGGCTTATGATAAATGGTCCATCCTCTTCAAAAGTGGCAGAGATGGTTGCCCAGAGCCTCTGCATTGAGCAGTTTTTCCAAGAAATAACTTCAGCATGTGCTTTGTTCCCAAGAGGACTGGTTATCTAGAATAGTGTAATTGACATTTGAAACACATGAAATCCTTCTTGCATTTAAACCGTTACCTCCTAACATTCCAGGGAATCCCACATTTGAAAGGAGAAGCCTGGCTGGTCTTTCCTAGGCTGTCCTCTCAAGCACACTGTATGTGGGGTTCAGAGTTGGATGTATAGAAGAAGTGTTTCTAAGCCACTGACAATTTCCTTTATTTCAAGTTACGCCTCTTTCTCTTCCACATGGCCCTGAGGGATGTGGAGATCTGACATTGTAATGCTGCTCCTTAGCCCCAACCTCCCACCCGCAGCTCACTAGCCCAGCTTCATGCCTGGTGGTGATGAGTATTTTGTCCAGGAAAAAAGAGATGTTTGGATTCCATGACATACACACATTAAAAAAAAAAAAAAAAAAAAAAAGAAAAGAAAAAAAAAGATTAGAGACCCCAAAATGACCTTCATGCTGGCCATTTCTCTGTCCTTCCCAACTTCTCTCACGAAGCCCTTCAAATGCCCATTCTCTTGATGCCATCTCCTCTTCACCTGCACCTCTTGTGCCCTTTTCCATCTTTGCCTGATGATAACAGGGTAAAAAGACAGCCAACCTCATGCGTGATGAGCAGAATGGATTCCTTGTTTTTTGCTTTGTTTTGTTTTTTGTTTTTTTAAAAAAATCTTCTTTGAAGCCAGAGAAGATTTTTTTTTTTAAGGACTTGAGTTTGGGAAATCAAATAATCAGTGTCTATTTGCATCTAAGGGAAGACAAATGGGGTTGGGGGTGGGGCTCGTCCCATTCATTCAGAGCATCCTGCCTGCAGCCTCCACTCTTGCACCCTACAGGAAAGCACAAAGAAGTAGGTTTCCAGAGAAAACTCTAGGTGATTGATTAGTTTAAATGGTCCTTAAATGATTTCCTCCGTGGAAGTCACTTTATGGCGTAAAAAAGAGTGAAAAATACTTTTATCTCCTCTTCTGCCTTAGTTATTTCAAGAGAAGGAAGAAACCAAGGCAGAAACAACCCATTTAACTGTAGACATCAGGCTTGTCATTGATTCCTTAAAAACAAAAGTTTTAGGAGGGCCAGCATTTCTCTTTGCTGGCCAGAACATTGCCAAAGTGGAAATCTAGTAAGTAGGACCTGGTTGAAATGAATTCGTGGAAGCTTTCCTTTACATCTTCTGGAAGTGGCAGGAGTAGGGGCAGAAGACTCCGGCTCTGAGTGTCTGGGTTACATTTCGGGAAACATGGTGATGCTCAGTTTGGAACTGGAGGGCCTGGCCTGAGTGTACATCGATGCCTTCCTGATGGCCTGTTTACGTCTCTGAGGATCTTTGAAGTACTTGAGATGGGACAAAAGAAATGTGTCAAAGGAAGCAAAAACTGCTTGCACATAATGTGATCTCTCGTGACTAACTGCTTGAGGTTTCAGGATTTTCTCTTGCTTTTAACACTTAAATCTCCCCTGTGGGTCTTTCTAACAGATCCCAGGAAGGAGAAAACTAAGCTGCAGTTAACTTTCTTCCACGCATCCTTCCAATCTAGTACTGTATTCTTCAGGTATTCCGCATTTAAGTATCAATTCTCGGGAAACAGGTTCCAAAATGAGAGTGAAATCAAGGCCATCACTTCACAAATATCCCAAACAAGATACTCTTTTCAAACAGGCTCCCTCTCCGTGGTCACGAGGGAAGGTTGATATGTTCTTGGTTGGGGACTATTTATACAATTTTTTCAGCTGTGAGCTTTGGAATCGTAAATTGCTTTGACTTCAGCTTCTGTCTACTGCCATAAAAAGGACCCCACGTCAGAATAATGAGGGTGGTGTATACACATATGCCTAGATGGGTGTGTGTACGCACCTGTTGTACCTTCGCAGAAGGAAAACGGGCTACCGATGTTTAAGAGGAGTAGCCACCAGTGCCTAATCTCTTTTGGGGGAATGGATGCTTAAAATTGCCAGTATATCAAAACCACACTGGGAGTTAGTTCCACATACAGGGGAGGAGCAGAGAGTCGGGAAAGGGGACATTTTAATACTAGCCCTTGGGACTGACCTGAGGCAGAAAAATTTCTGTAAATCCAGGTCCTGAAGACTTTGGGGCTCATTGGCTAGTTCTTTATGTTTTGGCTTCCCAGCATGCATTACCTAACCCAAGCCCAAACAGTTTGATTTCTTTACTTTTCACTTCTGCTTCATTCCAGGGAGGATAAAACTACACCTGTTAGGCCAAGATCTCCTTGCTAACACAGAGGCAAAAAGAAACATTTAATGTTTTTGGAGACTCCCCCTCCTTCCTTTCCACAACGGCCCAGCCCCGGCACCTTTCCTGTCCTCAACACACAACTTCCCAGCCGCCACCACTTTTCTTTCTCCTGTTATCCTCTTCAGAGTTGCTTGAAGAAATTTAATTTTGCACTATACATTTTTCTTTTGCCGGATGTGTCTAACAAGTGTTTGGAAAGACCTACTCCCAGCCCCTCCCCCTACCACCCGGGCACATTCTCTCAGGCTTTCTCTGGTATTTATAATATATCACAGAAGTACCCAGTCTTATAAGCCCTCGGTTATGCCTTTTTTTGACATTTTATTTTTTTTAAGCTTTTTTTTTTGCTGTACAAAAGTCTTAAGATTTAAAACTATTATTTGTATTATATGATGGTGGTATGTTAATGTTACAAAATTATTAATGAAGAAAAAATTTATTTTTGTTACTGGTCTGTTTCATAATTCTTTTTTAAATTGGTATATTGTAAGATATCTATGCAAAAATGTTATGTGACGCATTTTTATTTAAGAATGTAATATGTGTAATAAACAGTAGAATGTGTTTGGCCTTGGAATGCCTTACTGTATTTCTCCTTAGCTCATAATTATTGGGGAAAAAACTCCTCAAAGAGACACGATTTGCTTTTTGTACTTCATGTATAACTTTTCTAAGAGAAAGGGAAGGCAAAAGATACCAGATCATTGAGTGTGTGTGTGTGTGTGTGTGTGTGTGTGTGTGTGTGTGTCTACTTTATGGTTTCAGTGAGATAAAGGAGAAACGGCAAATGGCTGAAGGTTATGAAAAACAATATTTTCGAATGAGGTCAATTATGGGATGCTGTTTAGGGGGTTGGGAGAGGCTTATTGAAAGCAGTTTATTTGGTGAGGGAAAGGGGGCAGTTTGCTCTGTGGTGGTGGTAAACAGGAGTGCATTTGGAAAGGATCATTTGGAGCAGTTTGTGGAGAGGGAAGAGGAGGAAGGGTAGAGGGAATCCCTGAGGTGAGGATGGGGGGTGAGGGGCAGAATCTCCTCTACAGGACAGAGTAAGAAAGTGAGGCAAAAAGGATTAAACAGAGCAGAGCAACTGAGGTGGCATCTCAGAGAACAAAACAGGTAGATGCAGTTACAAGCAGTGTCAGAGATCAAAAGGGAAGAAACATTGGAGGGGAATTCTGAGAACAGAAAAGACACTAACATCTCTTCTACCCTAGGCTTCCAGGAAGGAGCATCAAGGTAGACAGGACGGTGGAGGAGTCAACTGGTGGTGTGATCCCAGCATCCCTTGCCCTGCCATTTC